TATTAGAGGGACCAACAATGGATTCTCCTTTGAAACCTCCGCGCAAAGGCGCTCTTTACCAAGTTTTTTTTGGCACTTTCTCTCTGCTCATCAGTCTCGGAGAGTCCCCAAAAGCCCGCCCAATCCCGCCGCGCGTCTCTGAGAAGCATAGTTGACCTCCACGCCAGTATCAACCACCATATAAGGGCGACCCCCGCACCCGATGCGTGGGGTTTCCAACGGTGCAATTTACACCCATCTCCATGGACCACGATGAGCGTGTGCTAAGTGAGTTTGTGCGGCAATTACCGCGTGGTTCGCAGCTCCAAATTGCGTCGGGATACTTGAATTTTCCTCCGTTTCTAAGTGGATTATTGGAACACTGTCAAGCTGGTTTAGACGTGATTTCTGCTGCCCCACGAGCGAACGGCTTCTACGACGCACGTGGCGTGAAAGGAGCGTTGCCTATGGCTTATTCTCTGATCGAGCAAGACTTTTTTGAACGCACTCTTAGCCGTGAGTATCCAACAGTGCTACGGGAATTCAACCGACCAAACTGGACTTTTCACGGCAAAGGCATGACGAGTCGAACCACTCCTCGTCGCTGTCGACCCCCTCTTCACTATCACTCGCCCCTCCTCCGTGGCGCGGCGGTCGCACCGCCGCTTTGACGCGCAGGTCGGGCGCCATGGCTTCCTGGCTGCTGCTGATTTGCCCCCGCTGCAAAAATGAGTGGGGGGGGAAAGTATACGCTACACGAGGTATACCCGCAAGCCGGATGCGGATCTCAAGCCCTCCAGCACCGTCCCATGTGCACGAGGTGGGTGCAGCACTCACTCCCTTGATATTAATGCTTCTGATAAAAGTACAGAAAACTTAATTGTTGTCGCTTACCGTAAAATGCGGCCGGAGTGAGACAAACGGGCGGAATGCAACAGCATCAATAATTACATGTATTGATGAACACCCCTCTTGCTTAAATACCTGTAGTGGGTCTCGATAACTCGAACACACACGAGGGAAGCTGGCGCTTCCTGTTAACCTTGGTTGTATTGCTTGCTAGCCGGTAGATTTCAATCTGACTAAACTAAGGGAACGTTATGTATAGAGCTCACTAGTAGTCCTCGTACATGTACTTCTATGCCAGCTTGGCCTCACGTTCTGTGCGGCCCAGTGCAGTGGACAAGGCTTGGACTCAACCAACCACTACAATAAGTAGTACTTAAGATTAAAAGGATTATTGAACGTCCTGTTCATATTTAATGTAGTTGAAGCATTCGTGAGATGGCAACATTTCCCAGCGTTTTCTAAACGCGTTGGGTCCATGCCTGCACGCATGTAAGCGCGGTCCATAAGGAGGGATGTCACAGCTGTCAGTCCTGTACTAAACCTCATAAGATTTTTTTCTTTTAAATTAGGAATTTAAGCAAAAAATGTTGTCTCACTATTGTTAGCAAGCTAACCTTCAAGTGGGCCCACGGCCCAAACCTCCACGTCCCATAAAAAATAATATTTGTTGTGTGTTTCCATAAATTTACAGCTCTCCAATTTCCAAAAATAAATAATCTTGTGAGGAAATAGCTTATTGTTAGATAATGTTATTGACAATGCTGTTTTCGGAGGCCCTGCGGGATAAGGTGTACAATCCCTCAATTACCAATGCTAGCGTGGCCTCACGTTCTGTGCGGCCCAGTGCGTTGGACTGCGCCAGCCACTACATGTACAGGCACCCGATTCTGGATAATAGCACTTGAAAAGTAATAAAGTGTAGTGAGTCACAGTGTCCGAGCACAAGTCTTACGGCCTATTTTATATATAGGCCGTAAGACATGTGCAAGCTAGGCTATAAATTCAATGGGTTTATCATAAACTGTAGTATTGTCTAGAAGTTCAGCCATAGAAAAGCATTGACGGGGCGGGTAACCTGCACCAGAATAATACGGTCTCGTATTCAAGTTGCTTTATTTCTTCTGTCGCTACACAACACTGAAAAATGGGACAAAGAGGGGAGTTCAAAACGAACTTCAGCTGTTGAACTACTTGTAGCTCTCTACTAGCGACAATCGTGTGGTCTTCGGGTGAGGCGTGCGTAAAATTGAACCCTTGCTACAGGCAACTGTACGAATGGATTGACAAGGAAAACCTTCGTCCGAATGCCCCGGTGCGAGAGGTTTATCTGCGTATGGACATCGAGGACGTCAGCGAGAAGTCGTTCGTGACGGAGATCCAGCAGCCTGTAGCTTGAAGACGGACAGCGATCCATCGCAGGGACCGACATGTATTAAACACAGCAATGTACGACGTAGTAGCTAAGAGAAAATGAAAACGTTTCCTACAAAGTCGACTGTCATTCAGGCAACAGGTAGTTGGATTTCCGTCACGCTGCCCTGGTCGTCCTCTTCGTTGCCAGTCGGTCTCTTCACATAGACCTCTCGTGAAGGTCCAGCAGGCGTGAGCTTCTCAGAGCGGATCCAGCCGAAAAACGTCACGTACGCAGACACATATCCCTCGCACGGACCGACGTACACCATGACGGCACCTCGATCCACTGCCGACACCTCGTGAACGCTGAAAGGCGCTTCTTCCGGGACGTAGGCGTCTTTCGCTGTGGGGAGACAAACCTCCACCTCCACGTCAGTTTGTCGGCCGTCTTCGGTGTAGTTGATGGCAAAAGTTGGCCCTGCTACAACGACGTTGTGGGTCTTGGCAAACGCGAAGATCTTCGCCCAGAGATCTCCTTGCGCGCGATAGTTCGGGAGAACAGACCGCAGCGAAAGCACGCGCACGGCCGCCAGACTTTTGATCGTGGGTGTCTCCGTCGTCATGGGATTCTCTTCAGGTGG